AGCTTATTACAACATTTTTCTTTTTTTCCACGAGTATTTCTACAGTCACACACTCCAGCAAATTATCAACTACCCTAGACCTTTTCTCCACTTTCTTATAACAAAAGTTTTTATCTATGTACAAGGCCACACCACCTCCCATCTTATTCTCTCTGTTTGTGCATACCAAGTCATAGCCATCAAGGTCAAAATCCATTCCCCTTACATTATTCATCCATGTTTCAGAAATAGCAATTATATTAAAAGAATGTGTAAGACTACTAAGATAATGTTTTATACTCTGAAAGTTTGCGTATAAACTTCTGCTATTAAAGTGAATTAGTGATAATTTGTTTTCAGTCTTAACATTTCATTTTTGGCACACTTTGTCACATTTAAAGAAAGGAGTGTCACAATTTGTGAAATATACTTATTTTAAAAAACTCAGTGTAAAAACAACATGTGATTTTACAATGGGTTATGTGCCATGTACTTATTGGACTGGAGCAGGAACTTTCTCAAGTCTTGTTGTGATCGTGAGGTTACCAGACAACAATCATCCTGAAAACCACAACATGCTGTTTTTACACTTTGGTATGCTGGTTAAACAAATAAGATAAATCATGTTAATTTAGAGATGCTGGTAGGCTGATTTTGTTACCTTTGGGTGGAGCCAGGCTAACTCTTGTTATCGTTTATAACTAAGATATGCTCAACAGCTTCTGGCTATAGTCTCATATTTACTGTTTAGATGTAAGGTATCCATCCACTTGAGAAACTCTAGGCAAGAAACACAAGTACTTCCCAAAATGTTAAACTGTTCCTTTGTTAAAGAATGGCAACATACCAAGTGAAGAACACCAGCATTATTTTAAAGAACCGTAATTTTATCTCATTGGCCAGCCGTCTCTCATTTTCTGTGTAGATTCCTTGTTGTCGTTTTAGTAAAGATGTCACTAAATTAAAAAGAAAAGAAAGGTGGTTATTTCTGCTCACATACATGTGCAAAAAAAAGTATTTGACAGAGGAACTTGAGCGACAGGAGCTAACCTGCAGATACAGTTTGGTTAAAGAAGATCGGGTTGGCCACAAGGACGAGCAGCATCGGTGCATATGTGGTGACGTAGTGAGGGACAGCATGCTGCAGGCCCTGCTCACAACTGCATGAAGAAAGTGGGAAAAATCAGTAGAACAATATGGTAAAACAACTAACGACATAAACACTGACTAAATGTTTTAGACGTAGTTACACCTGCTTTTAACACATCTATTCTGACAAGTCTGCCAGTCGTTCCTGATGAGTCTTGAGGAGAAAAGTGACACAAAAAATTTTATTTGTTCAGGAACAACAAAGGGTCTTACTCGGAGATGGATGGATAGTACAGCATGGCCACTCCCTCAACACACAGTAGCACAGCCAGGCCCCATGTAATCATGTGGTAGAGGATAATGGTGCTGAAGGGGAAAGAAACAAGTCATGAGACCGAGATGATAACCCTGCTGCTGCTCTGTCTTCAGGATGATTTTTTTTTTTATGTCCAGAAAACAAAAGTACTGCACCAACTGAGAAAAGACAAACATTGTTGCTATTTCACCACAAGAATCTTAAAAAGAATAAAAAAAACAAAAAAACAGACTACTTGGGGCACTTTAAGGAAATGGAGCACTGCATCTATCACAAATGCTGAAGTGAGAGAAAGCAGTTTTACACATTTTGCTAAATGACACGTTGTCAGCTCAGAATAAAACTTTGTGATTCAGATGATAATGAACTGTGGTAGATGGAAGGAGAGGGAGGGAGCACCTGATTCCTGCAGATGTTTTCACCACGAGGAAGACGTCGACAGCGTAACAAAAGGTCCACCAAAAAGAGGTACTGTAAAATAACTGGATCCACATCTGTAACACATAAATTGGATACAACTGACTTACTCTACAGGTTGATAAGAATAACCATTTCTATTTATCTGCGCCTTTACATATGTTGATATTTTACAGTTTGCTGTGCACATACTTGTTCAGCACTCATTACAAAAAAAAAGAAATTATGTTTCCTGTCCATGGGATCAGTATTTGCAAGATCACATGATTTTTATATGTATATAAAAGATGTTTGGTGACAGTAGTTCTGTCATCTGTCAAGAATAAATCCCTACTTAAAACAAGCTGCATGATGTGCTTTCTCAGCTCATACAAAGGCTTGGCTAAACTGTGTGATTGTTAAACAAGGTGAGGTTTTGTCAGAGGGTATCATACGTACGGCGCTGCCCACACAGAAGACCTCAGGCCAGACATCTGTGCTGTTGGCCACTGAGATTTGGTCGATGACGTTCGGCAGGCCCAGCCAGACTGATGACCTTATGATAATACCTGGAAGAGGAAAGCGACACTTGGTCTCGAACTGTAAAGGACAATTCCTGCTTTTACTGCAACACAAACTGAAAGAGGAGAGGAATAAATATAAAAAAGAAACCTGAGCAGGGGATGGGAAATTGGTCTGGTTTTAATTAACATTTAAAACACATTAAAGTTATTTTTGCCACAATTAATAGGTGCATTAATTAATTAGAGCCAGGTATGGGGTCTGCTTAATGGCAGCTTTGCTTCATGGAAATTCGAACTGCCTCTAGTTGTGTTTTACAAGGGTGTTTTCATTTCCTACATGAAACTCTTCACTGTAGAGAAGCATGGAAAAATGGGAGCCCTCCCAGAATCTGTTGTATATTTCATTTTGAACACTATCGTGGGTGATGTTTAGGCTCTCGATTTGCAGCGGTGAATGAATCTCACAGGGCACTAAGTACACAGGGATACATGACCAAGTGCAGGCACAAAGTGTGGAATGAACAGTTCAGATGTCACATTAGTCCTGAAGTAGTGTAGCAAGCTGGAAATAATCCTCAGCCTTTTGTGTATAGTTGACTGTGTAACAACTTGCTGCTACACAAAGAAATGCTGCGATCAGATGCCAACAGAGAAGGTGTGCAATTCATTACTCACATGAGAAGGACAGGTTTTTACAGTTTGTAACTATGTTTCCAACTTGGAGTGACATTTTTATAAGCTGTGTTTCTGATTTCAAAGTGTGTAAAAGCTCATTAAGAATAAGTTTATACAGAAAAATATTTTTAAATTCCTTTTTAAAATATTTTTTTCTGAAAAAATAAAGCAGGGCAGGCAGGCACATGTAGAATAACAAAAGGGTTAAAAACTAAACAGTTACGTGGATAATTTGACCCACAATGTGAAAACTGACACCCCGTTTTCTGATTTCCCCCAGTTATAATGGAAACTAGGCCTAAACCAGGCATTTGTTCTTTACCTATGCATCCCAGTACGTCGCATATGCTGATGATGAACAGTATCCGTGAGGAGGATGCAGGCCTCGGCAGGGGATACTGTCCGAGTCTTCTGTATCCTTTGCGTTTTGGCAAATTTTGTAAAATAGCAAATAAGAGGCTCAGAGCCGCGCTTCCCAGACTTAAAGCCCCAAACAAGACGGGCTGGAAGGTGATCATGAACTCTGTTGCTGCGTCTCGGTTCGGGCAGCAGAAAGTCTCCAGCCGGGGGGATGCCATCACAAACTGGAGAGGAAGAAAGAGAGAAACAGAGAAGTGGGCGACAGTGTCGGGAGAAAGAAGAAAAAGAAACAGACCACAGAGGAAATGAGTGAGTCCATGGGCCAGCTCTTTGAGGAATCACGGGGCTGACTCATCATGTGCTTCCATTTAATCCCTGCAAGTTGTAGCTCAGCTGCCCCACAGTACAAAAAGACTGACAAAGGACTGTTGTGTGATTTTGGTCTTAAGTTAGTTGAGTCCAGCAAGCTACTATTTATTTTAATGAGCTTAATGTACATGACTAATAGTTGGGCATGTAGCACCTCTGACATACCTACAATTAAATAAAAGTATAAACAGAAAACTTTCATTTGATATATACTGATATTCTGAGGGGAAACTCTCTCGGTTGGTTTATTATAAACCAATAAGCAAGCTAGCTAACAGAATAGCCTCAGATGGAAAACCTACACATTCACAAATTATAATAACAATGGACAGAGAGAATATGCTCGCTATAATATAGAGAATATTCCATAAAGGGAAAGTGGTTATATACCAGAAAACAGAAGCACAAGAGAAAATCAAAGCACATAAACACCTCATATTATACAAACTAGCACTGAGTAACATAGCTCAAACACACCATAAGAAAACAGGGATTCTGAAAAGCATGCTGTATGTTGTAACAGTCAAATAAAGTGAATGGTTTTTGCTAAAGAAAGCTTGCTCATGGCTGTCCAAACAGCAGAGGAAGCCCTGTTTTCTCTCTGTTACAGCAGTCATAAAAGGTCAGATCTGTGCGACAAAGAAAAAGCTTTGTGCCTAAACAGAAAAGTGAAGCCTAGAACAAGCAGGATGACATTTGGAGCTCTTTGCTTGCATAGCTTAGCTGAGTCTTGTACCAGGATTTAGTCTATACTTGCAATAGATTTCCCTCCGATATGTATGCATCATCGCGTCTTGATAAGGGAGAGGTCATGGCAACTGCTGGATCTGTTGGCTTGGCCTGAGATCTGGGAAAACCAGTGGACAATTGAAGCAGATTTATTTGAGAAACAAAGCATCAAGGGCTTTCATTATTCAGTACTACAGAGAGGGCATTCGTTGAGTTTTTGAGTACAATGGTATTCTAATCCATATGTACCTTCCCTGACAAGGCACAAAGTCAATTCTATGGCAAGCTTACAGTGTGCTGCCAGAGATTAACCCTCCCTCAGGAATCTTATTAGACTGTAGATTTGCTCCTCAAGTGTCTGCTCTGTTGCTGCCCTCTGCTGGTCCGCTGCTGGTGTGTGACTGTAGCAGTGGGTATTGCTGGTAGCCTACTTGTACTGTATATATTGTAGGTGTGGGTGAAAAGCACACAAAGCACCACCACGACCCAAAACCAGTAATCATTCATATGATTTTTGGCACCAATTCAGACTGGATTTATTTTCTTATCAAAATATTATGTGGGAACTGTAACTGTACTCTGTCAGGAAAGTTGAAGGTCACACGAGCTTATCGCTGGAGCTGCTATAGTGATTCAGTGTTTTACTCAGGAACATGAAAGCATCTGCTAAGTCTAAAAAAAATAAATGTAGGGATTTCCTGGTTTTAACAAAATGGTAAAGTATTTCAAAATTGTGCTTAAATAGAGTACTTGAGTAATTTTCCACCCGTCTGTTGTGGGGTTCTGCTTGTGTAAAAGTCATGCTATGTTTGTATTTTTAGTAAAACGTGTTTGATTTCACTGATTTCTATATTCCTGACCTGAGTAACCACAGTCAAGCTAGGAAATGCCTCAAAGCTTTTTAAAAGAAAGGTGTTGACTGAACTGTCACTGATGCTCTTTACGTTATGCAATGTGAGGACATCATACCTCATAAGCCTCATCTCCCTTTCAAGTGCTGGTGTGAACAGCAGTGTGCCTGGTGACTTGCCCCTCCACATCGCGGCCTGTCTGTCCACCCTCTCCAGCTGGTGTCCGTCCTGCTTGACCACGGAGTCGATCGCCCCCTCGAGAACCTGCAGGGGCAAACAGCCACTGGACCTCGCAACTCCCAGCAGCCTGCTGGAGAGCCTGCTGACACAAGCTTGTTAATGCACTGAATAACTCCAGCTTTAAACTTCAGACTGGTAGCATTACACTTCTAGGTCAACAGGAGGCGCACTTGCACAATTTTGCAGGGCAATGGCAATCAACTGTAATTTTCTTTGGTGGCAGACTTCTAAACAAATTCTCAAGATCAATCTGGACAGTTAGGCAATTGAGCAAGATTGCATCATTAAATATTCATAAACTATAAAACATCACATACTTAAAATTAGATTATGGGCACATAATGTCCAATAAATGTTTCAAAAGGAATGTTAGTAAGGTTTAATGTACTGTGTTTAATATTTGGCTGCAGACCTTCTAATATTTTTGATGCTGCTGTGGTGAGATGTTTCACTTGGGCCTGACACTAGATGAGACTTGCATGTTGTCCTTACACAATTCCTGGAACAGTTTGTCTTTGATCCTTGCAAGCCATGTAAGTAAAGTTTCTATTTGCACTAATTCAAAAAACACATCAGCAGATCAGCTGATAAAGTAAATTGTCTCCTGCTTAGTCAAAAGCATCTTTTTGGAGGAGCTGAACAAACACACATCACTGGAGAGGCTGGATTAAAATGACACACATTACAGTAGATAAGGTGCATCCCTCAGCCTACAGAATGATATCTGTAGGTCTTTGTGTTCCGTCATTACGCATGCAGCTGGATGGCTCATGTTTTAAAGTCAAGTTCAAGCATGGTTGTAACTACGAGTCAGTATCCTACACACACAAATCACTGAGTGGCTAGGAAAACCTTTATCCCCTCTTTTTTGGTTGTTCTACTGGTGGCAAATAAATCTTTATTCTACTCTTTTTGCTGTTTGTGATTGTAAAGCACTAATGAACATTATAAAATGCTGATATACAATGATAAACTACTATACAGCTGTACATACAATACACAGTGTATGGCTATTTTAATGCATGTACCAAGTATCTTATACCAGACTGTGAAGAAATAGGCTGGTAAAATTATCACCTTTCTTTTTAAGTCATTGTAAAAACAAAGATTATGTTGCAGGCTTTGGTTGTACACAGGATGTGTACAATGCAAATTATTGTTAAAAAAAAAAATCAGTGTGTTCCAAGAGCATGTTGATCTACATACATCACAGCAACCCAGCAAAACAAAAAGAAACACTTCAACACAAAATACACACAGAAAAAGAACACAGTATGAACTGCGGATATAGGACAACATCAGGATAATGAATCCTCTTTCTGGTGCCCATCTGAGAAATGATCTTGGCAGATGTTAAACTGAAGAATCAGGCAATTATCATCCAATTTTCTTGTGCCGCCGTATTACCTATTATAATAACTTGAGGACAGTAAGGGCAACGATACCAAGATGGAGCAGTGTTGTGTGCAATTCATGTGACAGAAACCAAAGAATACAATGTTTTATTTAGGTCACTTCCTCGCTGTCACCCAAATTTAGTATTTATGATGTGCTGG